CCGTGATAAACGAGATGAGGAACTACTGTAAATAAATTATGGTTTTCAAAAACATCTACAAAATGTTTGAGATTTCTGTTTGTTCCAATTTTGATGTTTTGAACCACTTTGGCTATGGCTGCCTCAGAGGAGCAGACGAGGGAGAGGGCAGGCCCCAGGAACCATCTTATCACTAGCAAGCTTGACGGTCCACCATGTGGGTGTGTTGCTTGTGGGACTCAGTTTGTTGTGGCTCTTCGGACTGATGAAGTCCTTTGGATGAAAGACAAAAGATCTTAAAGAAACCGTCCAGATGACCTGACTGAACTTTGTTGGAGATTTATATAGTTTTAAGGCGAAAGCAACCCATTTTCCCATGGGCTCGACTGGGGCCTATTTGGGTCGACTTGGTGTGATTTCAGAGTCTTTCCTTTTGGGTGATCTCACCAGCTTCCTGATCAGTTTTTAGGACCTATTCGGCCATGGTTACAAGTCAGCCAAAGCAAGCTGAAGATTGGGCAGACTGCAATTCATTTATTGACCAGTGACGTCAATCACGAGCACCTCCTTTCTGTGAGGAGGTGCAGACGTTTCCATGCTTGTTGGCTGAAAGAGAATTCAGACCAAACTAGAACAATTGGACTAGATTTACAGGCTACGACTGGTGGGGGGATTTTTTCAAACTGTAGCCTGTAACTGTAGGTGGTCAGTGTTTTGTGACGTTCTTTCACTTATTTATTTCACGTTTCTGTGTTGTGTTTGCCTTGGATAGAAAATAGCATCATAGACATTTTGGGTGGCCATGCTATGACAATCGAGCCCACATCAATAAGGCACTCAGTTTATATTAAAAACCACCTAGACCCTGTAGACCTGAGTAGAATGGAACTGAGTCATCGTGCGACTGGACAATGGAAAAACAGCTTCAGGGGCTGTCCACACTGGACCAGTTGTTGTGAATACGCAAAAGTTAAAAAAATTTTTTTTTTTGTTTCAGCCTTGCATTCACACCACACATAAAATATTCATTGCTCATAACCTTTCCACAAACACCTCTTCAGTACTTTTAAACACAAATAACCAGTGATGATACGTCAAGAAGATGAGATAATCAAAACTGAAACTTCACCAACAAGTCATTGAAAGGGATTTTAAAAAGAGCTAAAAGGAGACGGCAAAGGTTAAAAAAAGCTGGAAAAGAGGGGTAAGCTCCCTGACACAGAAAGCCTGTAACTCATCATCTGGCCTCTTCAGACTAAGGCTCACAGAGACCGATAAAAACACACATGGTATATCTCTTTGTGGACACCCAGCCCCTCTGTTGGTGCGAGGGGCTCTGGGACCGCCATTGAGAGCCATCCATGCGGCAGGACAGACATTATCAGGGAACTAGAGGGGAAATAATGCTTGTCTCCAATTCCACTGATAACAACAGAAATAATCAGGCAGTACAGAACACTGGAGCCCCCCCACATTCCTGTCTGCAACAACACAGTACATTTACAATGAAGGCTTCTCTGTGCCCCCAAATTAGAGCATCTTTAGGGAATAGGAATGCATTTTAGACCATTTTAGTTTAACACGGTGAGGTTATTAATAAGCCTGTCACGATAACAAATTTTGCTGGGCGATTAATTGTCTCAGAAATGATTGCGATAAACGATAATATTGTTTGAAATTTGACAATAATTAGTAATGGTCAAATTTAAGAAGACATGTTGGTTAATTTTTGTGTGTAGTACCATTTTTTGACCACCGGATGGCAGTATAAGACTGTTTGAAACCGAATGATGGATAGTGAGGGAGCAAGCAGCGTGTCTCTTTAAGAAAACTGGGAGGGAGGCCCCTTGACGTGACATGGGCTGTCTCTTGTTCCCGTTTTTCAGTTCTCAAAATAGTGGACGCTCGGTGTGGTTTGAGCTCTTTAGCATAGCATTTGTCACACAAAGCTTTTAATAAATAAATAAAAAACAGTAAAGTTCTCAGCTTCTTTTTGCAGAGAAAAACTACTTTTTACATGAAGGCACGGGTTTCAACCATGAGTTTTGGAGCTTCGACAAGACTGAGGTTTTTTTTCCCTGAGATCAGCCTGTTAGCTTATCTTGTAGCTTAGCTTCTCAGCTTGGCAGCTATTAAAGATCCAAAAACACAATTTTGGACGGTTAAAACGGATTTTAAAGAGAAAGGGAGGGATCAGTGAAGAGCACCGGAGTTGAGCTTTTTGTCTTCCAGTGTCTTCAGTAGAAAGAGAGAGACACGAAGAAATCATAAAGCCGATAAATGAAAATGAGGTTGATAATTTTCATTTATCATGTGATTAATTGATTTATTGTTTATCGCGACAGGCCTAATTATTAGGTAAGATAGGATATTGACTGGTTTTCTTTTAGTTAAACAGTTACTAGTTTGATCTGAACTGCACCATCTGACATGTCAACGAGTCTTTTAATAAATTTAACACAACTGGTTGTGTGGAAGTCTGCAGCCAGGCAGGAGGCATCTGTTTAATCCAATATGTTTCTCTGTTAGTAAGTGCATGTTAATAAAGCAGTGTTGATGTGTTTACTTAAAAGCACCTGTTTTTGCCAGATCTCATTCCTAATATATGATAAAGAACTGTCAGCTAAGAAAAGGCTGAAAGGGTTATTGTTTTTTACTCCTGGTCTCTTTAGCAACATTGGGGCTGGCTTTTGCAGGGACCTGAACCTAGACTTTAAAGAAAAAAGGACCAGATTTGCAAGTTCAACTCTTTAAACTCACACTTCACAGACTCCGTTAAATCCAGGCTGTGGTGGGAAATGCACTTGCTAAGCAAAGATACAAGAGTGCAATTTCCATATTTTTATATTGCACAGATCCAAAACACGCAGTTCCCTCTCATTTCCCTTCTCTAACTGCTTATTCGTTCTTCTCCGGCTCTCCCTGTCATTTCAGCCTCTCGGCTCCCTCTTTTGCTCCATCAATCGTTTCGTTTCCCAACAGACGGGGCTTTAAACCTCCACTGTCAGCCCTTTTTTTAACAACATCACCCCCATGCAAATGAGGAGGCAAAAGATGGAAAGAAAACAGCGTCTCGGTCCACACACACCCGCAGATACCTTTAATCAGACACAAAGACAGCCTAACAGGCATTTGACAGGATAAATATGCACAAGATTACATAAACAGGTGCTGGGACACACTGAGCAATCACGTCTGCAAGACACGGACTCAGGCGTATACACAGCAGTGATGCAAAAACAAACGTGCGACTATGTATCATTCATTAATGTGTTAAAAATGACTATCGATCGAACCCATTCATCAACCAAATCCACATTTGCTCCAGCATCTTAGCTCCAGCTGTGGAGACATCAGATCTTTTTCACCCAGTGGCCATTACAGCTTGCCTAAATTCAACTGGTGGACATCTGGCTGTGCAGAAGAGATAACTCTCCCCTTAATAGGAGGATTTTAATTGGCTGCTGCAGAGCTACATCAAAAACCCAGCAGACCCTCTACTCCCAGAAGGACCATAAACTCATACCGGTTTCTCCTCCAATAGGCCATTTCCATGACTTTGCGTCTTGTTCATGTGGACTTTGCAGCTTTTAATTACATTTTACAGCCTCTTAAGTGGGATGATTTTGAGTGCAGAGATGGCTTCTGGACCATACGGTTCACAACAGGCCTGGAAAGTCAATAGGCATTGACCTTGGGCAATTAAATGGCAATCAGTTCAACATGTAACCTATTCAATGTTGTGCACACAAGGAAGCAGGCACCGGGAAGAAAGGGTATGAATGAATAGTGTTTGAGAAAGCAGAGGTTTTACTTCATTGATCTGTTTGGTTTGACTGTATTTAAAGCTCACAGTTAACCACAGGAGCTCAGACCGGTGTGTATTGAATTTCTTCTGTATCGGCTGAGAGCAGGACAGTATTGTAGCGGCAGCACTCTTGTAAGGAAAACCATGTTCTAAGTAAAGATTTCAGATCTTGACCGAATGCTTCTTAAAGAAGTCACATAACCGTCCTCTTTTTAAAGACTCCTCTACCCTTCTAACCCTTTATCGAGACACAAGGTCAAGCTTTGTAACCTGATTGGGTAGTCGGCAGCGCTGAGATTGATGAAGAAGTCCCAGTTCCAGTCCCTCATGGCCAGCAGGTCAGCCATGCTGCGCAGATACATGGTCAGCAAACTGGCCCCTCCCCAGATGGTGGCCATGCGCCATGGTGTCACCCTCACATTGGGATAATGGGACGCCAAGACCTGTGCCTGCCTGTGCAGGTAGTTAGAGCGCTGAAAGAAAGATCCAACGATGATATGAAGAGATCAGATTTGTCAAGTTGTGATAATAAAAAGAGGCATTTACATTAAGAAAACGTCTTGGCTCGTCTCATGTATCAAGACGCAGATCATGCTTTTACACTCACCTGGTCAACGTGTATGTAGTAGTAGTGCGAGATGTGGTAGATGGCTTTGAAGAGGCGTTGGAACTGGCGAGAGGCTCGTCCGTGGATCACAAGGACGAACGCTATCCTCACCGGTTTCGATGAAACGCTCTCAGCAGAGTCTTCATCCCACTGGATGTTCACGTTCGCTTTACCTGCACAGGTTTAAAGACAGCAGTTTACACATTTATGTACCACTAATGTACATATTTCATTTTTCAATACTACCACTCAGGAGTTGTGCACATTTATTATAAATATTTTTGTGTAATTTGTAGCAACGATAGCAACAACATAGGATAAAAGCAACACAATCAGTGCCAATATTACTAATGAATAAACTTATTGTTATAAATAAATGTTCGTTTTGTCATTAATGACTATTCTTAGTTGGTTAACCTTTTATTTGCTTAGGAAAATTAAAACTAGTGAGATTTATTATTATTTTTCTGAAGTGTTCTGACCAAGACGTGTTTTTCTTGGAACTAGAATTATCTCCACAATATTCAGTATTATCACAAATGGATTTTCTGGGTAGGGGCTTGGTGGTCAATGATCTCATGATCCTAAGGCTGCAGGTTCAAGCCCTGTTCGCGTCAGGAAGCGCATCATATAACAACTGCCAAAACTTTCTTGCAAGTTTGCTTGCTGTGGCGACCCCTGCAGAAGGAAGCAGCCGAAGCAACACCATCTCAACTAGAGGTAGGTGTTTTTGTAACTTAACCAACAATGCCAGCTTAAAAATACTTTAGGAACACAGTGCAGTGATGTGTTTTGGTGAATCTTTCTGAGAAGGTGCATCGCTAACATAAAATAACCTCATCTAGATTAGACGTTCCCGTAAGGCCCAATTTGTCAGTGTTATTAAAACTAAAGAACGAAACAAAAGACAAAACATTGGAACGTAAAGCAGTGAGTCACTCAACCATTTATGATGTGTGAATTAAAACTATTTTAGCCACATCGGATTGAATGTAACTACTTTCCTCCCACAGACAGGAATCCTATAAGCCATTCCGTTGGGAGCCTCAGGGTGGAGCGTTATTTGACAATGCGCCGTCATTTCTCTCAGACAAAACTCCCAGAAGATGCCTTGCAAAAATGACAGCGGTATGAAGGAAGGCACATACGCTCCGCTCGTGGCCCGTCAGGCCACTGTAAAATAAAACAATTCCACCGATCTCTAGGGAGCCATTGTTGCTCTATGATGTGGTTTTGTACCACCCTTAACCATCAAAACTGTAAACTAAAAAAAAAAACATTCCTTACTATGTAAAGCGAGCTGTGTTCTATGATTTGGGGCTGTGGAAATAAGATTGATTATATGTACAGAATGTATGAAGCTGGTTAGTTTCCACATGTGCCACTGCAGCTACTGTCCAAAATACCAAAAATAACTAATGACTACACTAAAAATGCATTAATTTTGGTGAATAAGCAGTGTAAAAAGTTTAGAGAACCAAGAACAAAAGCAATGTTCAAGCTGCTGCCAGTGACCCCACGTGGTCACTATGGTAACCCCATATCTGTGTCTGTCACTCCCTGACTGCCAAGTTAATGAATGGTAGACTGAAAATTAGGTCTCAATCCGTAACTACGTAAAACCTTTAGATCGGATCGTACAAATTCTTGAACCCAGACTGGCAGAAGAAGATGGGCATCAAAAAAGACTCTTCACTTTCAGTTCAGAGCTAAAATATAACTAAAGTCTACTGACGCCCAGCTGTGAACTCTGTATTATAAGGAAGTTTGATAGAAAACCTTATGTTGTCTCATTTGTTTTGCCAAACTCCCAATGATTGCCACCGTTTTATTAATGTAGTTTTTTTTTTACAAATTGTTTCTTTATTGGTGGCATGGTGTTGTTGTTGGTAGAGCTGCTACCTCTCAGCGAGAAGGTTGCCAGATCGAATCCAGCCTGGGGGACCAATCAGAGTCAGAGTCAGAGTCAGAGTTTCTTTATTGTCATTCGCACCTCATGTGGTACATGTGGTGGAGCGAAATTATGTACACGGGGTCCCAGTTACATCCAACAATAAAATGTCTAAGAAAAACAGTAATAACATCTAAGATATGAACTAAGAAAAACGTCAACTAAATATACACTAAGCACTCATAACATAAAACATTGAACATCAGCACAAACATGAACATGAGTCTGTGAGCAGATGTGCACGCATGAACACATCAACATTAAAACAGATCAGCAGCAACATGAAACAGATCAGCAGCAACATGATATGGTTTTTCACAGTGATTATTCTAGTTAGAGATTCATGAGTCTAACAGCCTCAGGGTAGAAGCTGTTCCTCAGTCTAGTGGTTCTACACTTAATGCTCCTTAACCTCCTTCCTGAGGGGAGTGGGGCAAAAAGTGTGTATCAGGGTATCAGGGTACCCAATCAGGGTAGTTTGCATGTTCTCTCTGTGCATGTGTGGGTTTTCTCCAGGTACTGTACTCTGGTTTCTTCCCACAGACCAAAAACATACATGCTAGGTTGATTGGTAATTTTAAATTGTTCCTAGGTATCTAAAAAAGTTAAATCTGGTCCTCTGGACATTCAAAAAAACAAAACAAAGCAAATCAACAAAAAAATGTAGTGCTTCTGTGCTGGGCCATCCTTTTGGCCAGTGGCTGTTTTGTTTCCCCGATGTAAGACTGATCACAGCCCTCCTGACACTGAACAGCATACACAACATTGCTCTGTTTGTGCCGGGGGACTGGATCTTTGGGATGAACCAGTCTTTGCCGTAATGTATTTTGGGGTTTAAAAGCCACTGGGACGTTATGTTTAGAAAATAAACGTCTCAGTTTCTCTGATACTCCCTCAACATACGGAATGACCACTGGTCTGGGTCTGAGTTCCTCCTTTTCACCTGTTGGCTGACTGGAGTCTTGTTTGGGTTTCTTCTCTGCTTTCAGGAAGGCCCAGTTAGGATATCCACATTGCTCTAGAGCCTGTCTTGTGTGGGATTTCTCCTTCTGCCTGGCTCCTGAGCTAGAAGATCAACATCATCAGGCCAGGACTCTGCGGTCTACACTCATCTCCAGGCCAGCGGTCACTCTTTCAGGGATGAAGATGTTCACATCCTGGACAGAGAGGAACGATGGTTTGAGAGAGGAGTAAAGGAGGCCATCTTTGTGAAAAGAAATCGTCCATCATTAAACAGGGGTGGAGGCCTCCGTGTTCAACTGTCCCCCTCTTACAATGCTGTGATTGCTAGTATCACTCAGCCCTCTGTGAACAGTAAACAGCCATCAGTGTGCTAATGATCCATTGTTATGCTGATGGTCCTTCTTGAGCATGTGATCAGCTGGTTTTGGTTGTCAGCAGCAAAACTGGTTGATCCACCCTGAGACGGTGCTATTTAAGAGACTGAGCTGAAAACAGCTCCTCAGACTGAGGAAGTCTCTCGGATGAGAGACGAAACGTTTCTACATTTTTTTGTTGATTTGCTTTGTTTTGTTTTTTTGAATGTTCAGAGGACCAGATTTAACTTTTTTAGATTTTTCTACCTGGATTATTGAGCATGCATCAGGATGTTCCTAGGTATGAGTGAGAGAGTGAATGGTTGTTTGTCTTTATGTGTCCCTGCGATGGACTTGCAACCTGTCCAGGGTGTTCCCCGCCTCTTGCACAATGATTGCTGGACATGGGCACCAGTGAACTCTGTGGCCCAAAAAGGAAGAAGCAGGTAAAAACTGATGGATGGATGGTATCTTTTTTTGTACAATGCACTGCCACCAACAGAAATAGTGCATTACTTCCAGGTCATGTCTCAAGTTTGTTGCATACTTTAAAATACAGTAGTCCCTCACTACTTCGCGGTTCTATTTTCGCGGGCTCGCTCTATCGTGGTTTTTCAAAGTAAGATTGGACACACAATGGCTGGATGAGCCGTACGACTAGCATGGAATTTTTATTTAAAATAAATTATTTAAAATGATTTAACACTTCTGTGCAGCCCACAGCTGTAGGAGAAGCTTCCTCCTGCAGCTGATCAGCTGACCTCCGTGCAGAGCGGAGAAGTGGGCGTGGCCGAGAGTGCAGCCAAGGCAGAGAGTTGAAATCATGACATTCTGCGCTCCTTTAGAGCGTTTAGAGTTTAGAAATATTGTTTACAATATTGCACGAGTGTGGGACGTGTTTAAAACGCCTTAATATAAATAAATACTAAAATAAACTACTACTTGTACAACTATGCCTACTTTGCAGTTTTTCACTTATCGCTGGGCTTCAGGGTACGGACCCCCCACAATAAACGAGGGACTACTGTATTTTGGACTTCTACTTCCTAGAGTGTCTACTCTTCAGATGCTGACTGAATACTGCCACGTGGAATGTTTAATTCTTAGGGTGATGTTAGAAAAAAAAAGACTTGGGCAGATCCTCTCTTCTGACTTTGTGGTCTTGTAATTACAATAAATTTAAGGCCAAGTGTCCAGCATATGTCCTACTTACAGGCCAGTCTCAGACGCCCTGGTTCCTCTTGCTCAACTGATCATTTTGTATGAAATTTAAGGGCAGGTGTCCATCATGGTTTTGTTTAAAAGCTGACCACAAGGATGAAGTTAATGACATGCTCCACTGGCTACAACTGGCCGTGCCTCCTGTCATTCACTCACACTTAGTTCTTGCTGCTTCATGCATATGTGTGTGTGTGTGTGTGTGTTCCAAGCACAGCTCCAAGGGAAATCCTCTGTGGGCCGTAACAGATTGAGCAGTAATTGGTGGCCAGCTAAGAAGAATCACTGGTTTGCTTTGCAGATGGATAATTGGCCAGTCGCTTCTCAAAGCACTTGAGGAGTGTGCGCGATGCTAGCCAGCTGAACTAATGAGGACTTCTGTGCACGTGTGTGAGCTTAAATTTTACTGTCAATTTGGTCAAACTGTTCACCTTCAGAAGAGCTTTATGTGTAGTGTTTTTTTTTTCTTCTTTGAAAAGGAACCTGAGGAAAGAAGAGGCATCATCACAAAGTAAAACAAACAGGAGACTTCCCCCTAAACTCATCACTCTCCATCATCTCCAGCCTCGCCATCAATCTTTTAAACTGCCTTTCCTTCATCTTCTATCACCGCTCGCTCTCCCTCCATGATCTTGCGTAACTTTTAGCTCTTGCACACCCTCCATCTTAACTGATCAAATAAAAGGTT